TTCAAGTCATTTCTTGCGTAATGCCCTCGAGAATGTGAGGTCTAATAATAAAATAAGTATAATTATTTCACCGTTTTCACTTGAAAGTGAAAATTACCGAAGGTCTGTGTTTTGTTAGGGCTATTTATTTATGATTTTCCCCAATACTTTTTTTCACATTTGATAATCAGAAGTACTTAAACGTTCAATTTTAGTTAAGCTTATATATTCAGGCACATTTCTTTTTATCTTCCGAATACAAAAAATGTTTTGCCAAAAGTCTGTGTTTTTGTGTCTACGAAGTTTTAGATTAACCACATTACTCAAATTAGCTATTAGTCGATATTAATATTCATAGAAAAAAGATAAAATCTACACCATCCCATTGTTATAATAACTAAGCATACTGGGAGTTGTCTTCGTCTTATCTTTCTCAGGAACCTCGGCATCCTTGGCGTAGTTTTCCAATAATAACATTGCCTTTCTTATTTATCAAAGGCAGATAAAACTGTCTGCTATACCTCGCGTTTGCTCTGTTCTGTAATTTTGACCAAAAAAAGAAGAAAAGAAAATATATTCCCCACAATCCTCCTGTATCACAAAACGCCTCGTGACACAGGGCATGTAACCTTCAACATTACGTACACGAAAAACCAATCAGTCTCAACCTGAGAGAAATAATATTGCATTCTCTGAAAGCAGTGGTCTGTAAACTCGGCTCTATTTCTGGGTGACTCTGAGGTAATGGTGCGATAACATCGACTGAGTGTATGGGTTAAGATCACACTTTCATCGCCACAGACGGTGATTACCTTGAATAATATTCCAATGAATTGTTTGAACTACTCGGTCATGTCAACCTAATGGCTTCAGCATCTCGGGGTTCTCCAAGGCTTGGGTGCCGCCCAGGGTCTTATTGGCTTGGTGTCACCAGTATAGTATACTATATCTGAATATAGATGATGGTGTACATATATTCGTGAAGGAAGGGGGGGGGGTGCAGAACCACGTGCTATAAAAATAAAAAGGGACATACACTTTGTGGTCGATACCTCGGGTCTGTCGCTGTTTAAAGATCCTGCGTAGAGTACAAGCAGATACATTTTATATTTCAATTGGGTGGGAATCCATGCATTTACTCTTACTCTTTGCCAAAACTTTTTGTGTCAGATATGAAGATATGTTATCCTCTTATCCGACATTCAATAGATTTGACCGTCGACTCCACGATGCTTTGTTGCTGTTTTGTTAATCATATATCTGAAATATTTTTTTTTATCGAATAGATTGATAAAATGAAAAAAGGGAAACTATTATGGAATATTATGTGAAATAACGCATATCTTCATACTGATTCAGCATAATAAAAATATTTTAGATAAAGTGTGCCACCCGAACTTTCTTGCAGAATTGGAAGTAGCCGGTGGGGTAAGGGTGGGGTAAGGGTGGGTGGGGGTGGGGTAAGGGTAGGGTAAGGGTAGGGTGGGGGTGGATTGGGAGAAGGAGGAGGGGGGGTCTGGCAGTACAAATGCCGTCTGTGAATGTAACGTCGCTGTCCCGTTTGGAAACCTTCCACACTGGCCATTTAAACAACCGCTGTCTTCAAGGACAGTTAACGCTGACAAGTGTATAGCTAATTTCCCCCCTTTTAACAGAATAGGATACAGCCCTCCCACACCCTTATTTCAACTAGCTTAATATTTATACAGGCTAGAACCAAGCACAGAGGAAATGACGATACTTGACTCCCCCTGTCTACTCTTCCCTGGTTGATTCAAATAAAAACTATTCATTCCGGCTATTAAAGAAAACACTTCTTCATTTCCTCTACCATTTGGCGCAGTTTAGAGTCAGCTGAGAATTGGAAATTGTGTTTGTGCGGAGTTCGATGATTAATAGAAAGTCAAAGGGATGATACATGTGCCCATTGTCATCTGGGTACAATTCCTGTTTTTTTTCTCAGTTGTTGAAAAAATTTGGTCGATATTCTTACCATAAAATTGGTTATTTCAGTTCATTCCTGCCATTTCCAGACGCCTACGCTAGTGAACTTGTTTAAACCTAGTAAATAGCACAGAGATAGACAAACTACGAACATTCAGCGTGTTACTGGAGTTATGGAAAGGTACAGACGCGCGCGTGCGTACCCATACACACGCATGCACACATACACTGTATCATAATCAGAGAAGCATGCAAGCCTCAACAGTCACTTTTCCAATATCTTCTATTTTTTTTTTAAAAATGTCACTGGTAATAGACGGCCTGAAAAATAGCAATCATTAATCTCAAGGGTTTCTGTTATTCATAGAGGCAATTCAGCTTTCAGTAAATGGAAATCCTTCGAGTTCCTCAATCGTGTCATTTAATTAAATCGGTTTGCGTATTAAAACGTTCACATCCGTAACCATAAACCATCACGATTTCCACAGTCATGGAGTAATTTATAGATATTATCCTCAGTTCAATAAACTGAACATCTTCTAAATCAATAAATGAATAATTAATATGCAAACACAACAAATTCGAATTCGGAAATTGCTGATTAAGCTAGATAAAATAATCTACTTTACTGGACTGATCATGCGAACTTTTAAGTCAAAACTTTAAAAATACTCGGCGTTACAATTTAAGCGTGCTTAGGAATGATAAGCGACTGTAAATTAAGGGCAGACTAGTCGATTTTCACGGGCATTAGGGAAATTTCATAAACGCCGTATCTGCAAACAGTGAAACGTTGCGTCACTGTGGACACGTTAACTTCCAGATAATTGTATTATAAATGCATAACAAAATTGGGTCTCAAGTATAGAATTGAATTTAGAAGACTGTGCTGAACAGAGCAGAGGATGACGCCACTTTTGTGGAAATATACTAGCCAGTTACTCGCACACTGTCCATATTTCTTTTTTTCCTGTTCTTTTAACTGTTTTGCTAAAAATGAAAATTGGTCTTTTCAGGACAATAACCACTGCACCGCATTTTGTACGAGAGTAGAGTTAGAATTAAATATTTTTAATGAATACTTTTAGGTAAAACAGATATTTTGTTTAAACAAGTTTATGTTTCCTACCATCTGTTCGAATTAATGTATCGATCAACGTGCAGCAATTAAGCTTGGGCAGATACAGTGAAATCGAGAAGTCGTAGGAGGAGGGGGGAGGGGAGAGAAAATCGAATTGTGATTTATTGGCTTAGAGATCGTGGTATCTGTTAGCCAAAGCCGTTATCCCAAATGTCAAATGTACGACTTACAACAGTTAATTGTATAGCATTTTCCATGAACTGTATTTATAGCGAACAAAGGGTATTAAAAAGACAAATCAAATTTCGTTTAAAGCAGGAAGGTTCAGTATTTTATAAGCCAACGTAATCAGCGCTTTTATGCAGCCAACGGACTTTCAAACAAATGTCATGTTCTGATTGAGTTTTGGGGTCTTCTTCACACGTTAGAGCTGTAATGAGTTTTCTTCGAAATGTCTTTTTAGTTTGCTTGCACTCGTTCTAACGTCCCCAGTCGGATAGTTAAACTACATTGATTATTCCTGTTTGCCTTTCGTGAACTGAAACGTAACTTAGTTACCTCACATTACGATTAATTACTGAGAGTTTTCTTGGGTTCTTTAGATATTTGTGAGGCAATTTCGTATATTTGGTTCATTTGCTGCATTACAATGACGCGCAGCAGTCAATTTTTCCGAGATATTTCTTTACTCCCACTTGCTGTGGCTTACTAAGACATCTTTACTTTTTTACAATCTTGTTTTTTTTTTTTTTTGTTGTTGTTGTTGTTTTAATATTTAGTTAACATTTTTAAAGTCCAAGTTAGAGTATTTGAGCCTTCTTTAAAATTTAATCTAAATCTTAAAATATAGGTAAATTGCTTTGTCAGTGGTCACAAATAATCTTAAATACGCCGAAAATAAGACTGTTCAGCAGAAGCTTTTTCCTTGTCCTTTTGATAGATCTTTAAATTGATGTCTTATATCTAAAAAAACGGTCAAAATATTTTCCTTAAACCTGGACTAGCTCTGAAACTTGAGGGAAATCACTCGGATGCAAAAGGGAGAACGACAAACGCCATTTTATGCATATTCATCATGACACTTTAAATAGAGCAGAAGAAATGTATGTTCTACACAGAATATCCTTTAAAGGCACATAATGAAAGCTAGAATTTTATAAATCAAAAATTAATTTTTCTGGAAATTTCAAAAATTTCCTCTTAATCACTTAGTTATAATCAATAAGATTAAATTCTATTTTCTCATATTTGACTTCTACGTTTGTAATTTTTATGTCACTCTTGCAGTGGACACGGAGGCTGATGAACTTCACTCTGACTGTACTCGGAACTCAAAATCGAATTTAAAGATCGTAATTTTCTCGACACCTTTGAGTAGGATACACCTTGTCCTCAGTCAAGATGATTAAGGGGGAAAATTGCTTTATTTATAAAGGTCAAACGAGCGATGCTATTGATTGTGACGGGCAACATATCCCTTTGCCTCGCTATACTAAAAGCTTTGACCAGTGAAGAGCCTATTGCCTATAGCACCGTAGGTAGTATATTTAGAAAACCAATAATTTTGACTGTTTTACCGCAAATTCGCCTGAGCATTCTATGGATGATTTCTTGAAATAATATTTGACTATAACGGCGACCTCTTGTGGCTTTATTCGGTATCAACACACTTTTATGATTATGATAGCCACCAAGTCATAATGCGACGAGCTGGAATTGCCTGTTGTTTTTCGTGGCGATCAGCTTAAGTGTTCACCGTGAGTGTCAGCAAGCAGACAGCACAGTAGGTGTCCCGTACACTGGCGTAGAGGAGCTAGAGGTGTCTCTAGTCTGGTCTGAGAAACTGTCAGCATTTCAGCGGTTGTTGAAAGTATGAGTCATTCTCAGTTAGTGTAAGCTCTATTGTGGGCTGGAATTGGATTGTGCAATCAATTTTTGCCATTACGTGTAACGGTGCTTCTGAAAATTAGAAATCACTGTTTTTTATATTTTACAGGGTGATAAGAACCTTTTCTAGAGGAGCGGTCAATACTTTGGATGTATACACTGCGAAGACATTGTTGCAAGCGAAACGGCATGCACGAGCGTTAACGACTCCGCTGTTGAATATTTGTTACATTATTTGTGACGTCACTGGACGGACAGAGTAACTTATTCGTGACGTCACAATAAGACACTCAGCTATGGGCACGTGAGCATTTATTTCACAGAACACTCAAACATTCCAAGGAAATCCAGTTGATGTATCGACGACCGATTCTCTATTTTCCCAAAGGATTTTAAACTCTATCTAGCTATTGTCAGTTCCTTGTTGTGGTACGCAACAGCAACTCGAAACAGACATCGTCAACCATGTCGTCATAAACAGCGACGTCATTGTTATTACGTCAGGTGACGTCTTGGATACCACAGAAGACAAAACTAGGCTTCTCTCTCCCGTGATCGCCGCTCTGCCACCATGAAATGCGGCCGACTATATTGGGGGTGGATCATCCTCGTGGCTTCGATGGTCATACGGACATGGGTCCACGGCATTGTGGGATCCTATGGCTCGTTTTTAGTGGTCTTCAGTCATCATTTCTCCTCAACGAAGATGCTGTTACTAGGTGAGTGGGGTTTTTAGCAAAACAAGGCGTGTTTTCTGTGGCGATAAAAAACTTTAACGATATATTTAAGCTCACCTTTCCTTGTTATATTTGATGTGTCTGCTTTACTAAATACGTAGAAAAACAATGGTGACGTTTACTAGGAACTTGTTGACATATTTCTGTACACTCATTTACAAAAAGTGAAACATAGAGAAATTGGTTTGTATTCGGTGCATTTGCTCATTACATTACAATCATTACAATGACGCACGGCAGTCAATTTGTACGAAGTATTTCTTTACTCCCACTTGCTATAAACAAAATGTTTAAGGCAATAATCATATCTTAAGACGGAGATTATCATGTCAGTTATTCGGTGATGTGCCAAGGTAAGCAACATGTTCTTCAACCTATAACGGATCAACTCATCAGTTTTGAAACTAAACACTCATTTTTAACGAATGGAATAAGCACGCTTTTTTTCTTGCACGCGAAACGGACAGTTTCGTCCACTATCCTACAAGAAAACAACACAAAACGACTAAGGATATGATTAAAAACAAAGGTTTTATATTTACTCCAGGGTGGATAGGAGCCACAACCTACGGCCTCGTGAACGCGGGAACACCAATTCTACTGCTTCTCTACCGCCGTATCGGAGGCATGAGGACTGCTTTTATCGGGGTCTTCGTGGCGTCCCTGGGGCTGGCGCTCTCAGGGGTCGTAGACAACCCTGTGGCTATCTTCTTCACCTACGGTGTGATGACAGGCATGGGGATGTTGCTGATAAACATTCCGCCATTTTTCTTGCTGGATATGTACTTCCCGTTGGACAATAAGTATCATGTGCTCACCACTAGTATGCTGATGTGTACTTTACCCTTAGGTAAGATCTGATTGGTATAGATGTGCATATAATTTTTATCAAAACTATTCTTTGTTACCCTTTATTTGTGATGTCCGTGAAAATCTTACCCATCAGTCCCAAAGGCGGCAAGTATTCGGAGCACAGAGTTCTGCAGCCAGTGGGCCTCTTCTGGTGTCCTGGCCAGTAGGTATTGGGAGATGCGTTGATGTGGGACATTGACTCTTTTTTTTATCTGCCATGGAAACTGTTTGTGATGAGGAAAGATTATTATTATTATTATTATTATTATTATTATTATTATTATTTTAAGTGCATTTGGTGTAACGTGCAGGATTGCGTATGTACTCCTCGTTTATTGAACCATGCTCTTCTACACTGTGTCAACAAACCTCGTTGAGCTGCAGCATGTATGATTTAGATGTAAAACTAGTTTTTCGATTATATAACTGTTAATTAATTAAAACTGCATGTTCTCATTGTTTCTTTAATAGCACTGAGGCTGATGTGCAGTACACGTAGGACAATTTTTTAGAAATAAACATTTTAATTTTATAGTAATAAGAACCCTAAAAACATCGCGAAAGCCATTTACATCATTTGACCATCTTAAAACATCTAGAAAGGCATAAAAATATTAAAGCTAGGCAGTCTCTCACGGATACTGCTTAGACAATCAATACTTTTCATCACGTAACATGAGATCGTTTTCCCGTTGCAGGTTCACTGGTTTTCAACCCGATTACAAGCCGCCTTATATCTGATATTGGCTGGAAGAATACTTTTGCCTTCTACGGGGTGGCCATATTTGTTCTTGGGTGTATATCAGCAGCTACATTTAGAGTTAAAAGAGAGGATGATATCGCACCGGAAGATAATGAAAAGACGTCCTTAACGGGTACGCTATCTTTATTATTGATAACAAAAAAAAAAAAAAAAAAAAAAAAAAAAAACAGCAACTGATAGGGAAATGCATTTTCATTTTTTGATTTTACATAATTTCCCAAAACATGAATCGATATAATATAACATTCTGAATTCAAAATTTAGTTTCATTCGCCTTGGTAATTTTCAGCTCATTGCATTAGCTTACTTACTTATACAGTAATTTTGTTTGGTGTGACGGCATTTGTGTTTGGTGTGTTGAGACTATTTCTATACAGTTAACTTACTTACTTCTATACCTTCGTGGCATATCACACGCAAAGAAAAAACTATACCGTTATGATTTCAGAAATGATGTTGTAATATCAAATTAATCGGATAGTTGAGGAATACAAGGGCTTATTATTAAGGATAATATGATTTATTTTCAGACGCGGAAGATGGTATAATTAAACCAAAGGAAGAGCCAGAAATCAGCAAAAAAGTACTTATTTTCCTTAGTATAATTTGGTTTTTTTGCAAACTTGCCAAAGCGACTGCTTATTTTGGACCATTGTTTATTATGGTAAGTTAGTTTTATGAACGTATAACACTCTATTTTGAAAAAAAATGTCCTTTTTGCTTTCACGTTTTTAATTTGTAAATGTAACACTTTAAAAATATAAAAATACAAGTTTTCCCCTGGTTTCGTATTTTTATTTGACCATAGTATCAACTGTTTAACTATTTTGTCTTACAATACCATTCTGTCTGTTTTCTAGGTAAAGCACTTAGAAACTTTAGGCTACACACGTGACCAAGGTGCTGTTGCCATGACAATCATTTCAAGCTCTGAACTTTTTGGTCGTTTGGTAACTTGCGTGTTCGGAGATAAATACGCCAAAGGAAAATTCATTTACTTGTACGCCATATGTACGTTCCTGCTAGCGATAGAGAACTTTGGAGCAATATTTGCTACCACCTATAATCAAGTTGTAATGTTTGGAGTAGGTAAGTCAACGGACCATTTCCTCTTCATGACTACTCTCTCTCTTTTTTTTTTTTTTACAACCCCGTCCTCCGACTACATCTTCCGAACCGGAAAACTAAGTCAACATTTTTCCATTCGAAGAAATCGTCCGATCCTGTTGCTGAAATACTTGTATTAATGGTTAATGTCAGTGTATTTCTAAAACAATCACTCCAAGTCTGAAGTTGCACGTCTCTAGGAAATATCATTTCTTACAAATCGTTTAAATTTCACCAATTTCATTACATTATTCTATTAACTAGCCGCAGGTCTAACAGGAGGTCCGGTAGTGGCCGGGGTGTTCACCACGTGTGCAGAGGTCCTAGATGGCCCCTTCGTCCACGAGCTGTTCACTATATGTCGGGTAGGACTGGGAAGTGGGATGATCTTAAGTGCCTTGATAGCAGGTGAGTGAGGGGGATTAGTGACCATGTTCTTGAAATGTATTTTAGAACGTATTTTAGAGTCTTTTTATATCTATCAAAGGCTAATTTTAGTATTACAAATGTTATATCCAACTTTTACTTAGAATAAGTGTAAAGAAATAAAGTATAATTAAAGGAAAATTCAGTGATTAAAAATTGCTAAACGGGGAAGTGTGTTATTGTGTGTGTGTGT